CCCCAAAACCCCAAAACCCCAAAACCCCAAAACCCCGAAAGATGTAATTTGGAAAAAAGTTAAAATAAAAAATAAAGATAAAAAGCTTAGTTTATTTAATTCTCTTTGAAAATAATAATGGCAAGTATTGGCGCAGCAGCTAAAGGTGCTGGAAATCCGAAACTTAATCAGTTTAAGGAGTCTCTTATCTCTATGATTCCAAGTATAGAAGAGGTGGAGCAGGCAACTGAGAGAGAATAATCTCCTATGATACGAATGCTAATGGGTGGAATCGATAGCAAGGAAGGATAGATCAGCATTGACAATGAAAATAGTATAAATACCAATTCCAAAAAGAACACTAACAATAATCTGCTATTGTAATCAATATTTGATGATAAGAGTCAGACTAGTATCTCTAAACATAGAAGAGCTAGTAGTTGATCAGGAGTTGTTATGGGCTCTCCAAGTGTGTAAAAAAAGCTCAGATCCTTAGAAAATTACCTATCCACAGAAAACCTAACAGGGAATATTGGGCCAATTGATTTTAACAATTTCAAGGATTTGAGTTAAAGTTAATACGAATAAGTTATAGGAAAGTTTTTCGAAATAAAAGTCCCAGAAGACTAAAAAAATGAAAAAGTTAAGAATCTATTAAAAGTTGCGAAGTATATGGTAAATTTTAATAGTGAAATTATTCTATGTTTATAGATGAAGAAAAGTGGAGTTAACTACCCTAAGTACAAATGAAAACTTAAAAGAACTAATCCAGAAATCTTTAACACAAATATTCTTAGTAATAAAAACAGTGATCCTAGATTTATCAAGCCTCAGACTTTGCTTGGTAAAATATTTATAACTTCATACTTATAGACTATGAGAAGAGTCAACACTTCAAGATATATGATGAAAAGCATGATGGGCATGGCATCAATGGCAGTCCATCTAAAATGGCTTAGCCCAGATAGTCTTTGAATGAAATCATAGCAGAAAAGAAATTAAAGGAAAAAAGGAGATTCATCATTAATGGACCAGATGAGAGAAATAAGTCAGTGCCTGAACTTTTTCAAGTTGTTGAAGAGGCTAAGAAGTTACTGGATGACGGTACTATGTCACTTAAAGAGTGTTATGAAATATTAGATTCCCTTCAAGAAACAGTAAAAAGCCAAAATAAAACTACTTAGAAAATGATGCGAATAGCTGAAGAATTACTTTATGATGCTAAATGCTAAGTCGCTATAGGAGATGAAGATCCAAGAGATGCTAATCCATAATTCTCTCTCAAGGCTTTTAAGCAGCACATTAGAAAGAAAGAAGATAACGGCAAGTTTAATTACAGGTCTGAGACTCCTTCAGAGAGTAGAGCAAATAATCCATAGTTTAAAATTTCCTCAAGTAACAAACAGAAGAAAAGAATAGAAATGGGTGGAGTGAAAGTTGCTCATGACTCCAACTTCCATGAAGTTGAATTACTAAGAAGTTAGGCACAGTAGCAGCAAAGCTAATAGAAGCATGAAAATTCATAGATCAGTATTAATAAATAATCTTCACATGGCTATTTGAGTTTAATGCCCCCATAAATGAATCAAGATACCAAGAATAATCAAACTGAGGAATAAAAGCTTCAAGAAATGATGGAGGATTATAATTATCAGAAATTCAAAGATAAATTTGGTGAAGGTGACACTCATAATTATTTCATCAGCAAAGAGAACTAGAGTGTTAAACCCTCATATATGTTTCCAAGAAAGAACAGCTATCTGGATTTTATCAATCAGACAGTTAAAAAGCAACCTAGCTTTGAGAAGGGTAGAAACTTGTAATTTGCGACATTTTAAAAGGTTGAGGGAATGAACAGTCTAACTTCAATGAGGAATAATACTGATCAGATCTCCTCTTAAAAATCTTTGTTAACTTTGAAGGGTGATAAGATATTAAGAAAAGATACAATGACCTCCTAAATCACTTCTCCTATAGCAAAGCTAAGACCAAACTTCAATCAAGATTTTGGACTTATTCAAACTAAAACCATTTCCCCCACAGTTAACAATCTCAGGAATTTGACGATTAGCTTTGGAGTTCCCACAGCGACGTTTTAGCATAAAAGGTCAGACTCTAAAGGGACAGGATAATCAAGTAGTGCAGCCCTAAGGACACCTTAAAATTTTGATGCATAAAGTGCCAAGCAAAAGGTTAAGTAGATGAATGAAAAATCTCGTTAGCAAAGCAGAGACTACTAAGATGTGATATTCAACATACCGATAGAAGATAAGTAATTTCAAGCAAAGTCTCAAGAGCAATTGACAGAATAAAAATACCCTCATACTCATAATGATTTAACTGGAACTAAAACATTTGAGAGTATATAATCTAGGTAAACTCACGATGACAACCAAGAAGTTAAAATAATCATAGAAAAAAGACCAAGTTCTCCATCCTACCTACCTATGGTTGAATAAGTTGAAATCTTATCAGAATCCAAAAGAAGGTAAATTGTTTACAGCTCTTCTGGTTAGATAAGAGGCTAGTCAGATTTATTGCTGAAAGCTGATAGATCAGTTATACAAAAATTCGGCTATTAATTTAGATTTTAGAATGAAAGAAGTAGAAAATTATATGGAGAAAATAATGCAGGACTTGCAATTAGAACTATTGTTCCAGCTGAAATGAAGAGTTCTTTAAGCTTGCTAAGTTTAAAGGAGAAGAAGAGACCGTAGATTATAAGGAATGCATCTCAGACTTCTCAAATGCATGAAAGAATTAAGAAGAAAATACAGAAGCCCAAGTTTTACTTTGAAACTCATTTAATATAGGAGGCACAAAAACTAGAATAGCCTCATTATGTTTGATATCTGCAGGCAAGTTCTAACCTTAATTTCATTATTATTTTATTAATGTCACTGCTTCAATAATCTTCAATCATTAATTGGGGTTTTGGGGTTTTGGGGAGATCGGAAGAGCACACGTC